TACCGCTGACGAAGCTCCTTGGAAGTAACGGGCCCCTCAATTCGTGGTAATCCGAGTGCGATGATGCGTTTCGCGAAGCTCCGCCATTTGTTTACCTCGCCTCCCATTCTACGCCACTACGATCCTACAGCCCCAACGGAGTGCACACGGATGCCAGTGGTGTAGACCTCGGCGCTGTCCTGGCGCAGCGCGAACCCGTATTCCCTGAATATGTCGTAGCATATGCAAGCCACACGCTCACGAGAGCCGAGACAAACAACACCGTCACGGAGAAAGAGTGCCTGGCGATCGTCTGGGCCTTACTAAGTTTCGACCTTATTTTATGGTCGCCCATTCGATGTCGTCACCGACCATCATGCACTATGCATGCTTTCATCAATAAAGGATCTCTCAGGCTGTCTCGCCCGTAGGGCTTTCCGCTTACAAGAATACGACATCCGCGTGTTGTACCGCAACGGACGCCAGCATACTGAGGCCGATGCCCTCTCGCGCTCCCCTCTACCCTAAGACGACGTGCCCTGCTCAGTAACCTGAATTGCTGTTTCTGCCATCGATGTTGACATCCTCGCTACCGAACAGCGAAAGGATAATTGGATAGCCCTCTTAATCGACTTCCTCTCTCATCCGTCCGCAACACCATCCACGCGTGCTTTCCGTCGTCGAGCTCACCATTTCGCCATCCGTGACGGTCTCCTACACAGACGAAATTACGACGCCGATGGCCGGCAGTGGTTACTCGTGATACCCCGCAGTCTGCGGTTGGAGATATGTGAATCTTTCTATTCAAATCCGCAATGCGCGCACTCTGGGGTATCCAAAACTTACCACCGCATTTGACAACGCTACTTCTGGCGCGGGATGTACCGCTACGTGCAGCAGTTCGTTCGCTCTTGCCTCGCTTGCCAACGGCGCAAGCCGTCCGCACACATGTCGCACGCCGGTCTGCAACTATTACCTTGCCCTGACTGTCCGTCTGGGCGCGTAGGTATTGACTTGTATGGACCGCTTCCTCTGACGTCGGCTAGTAACCGCTGGGCCATCGTTGCCTTAGACCATTTAACGCGATACGCCGAAACTGCCGCTTTCCCAGCGGCTACTTCGTGCGATGTTGCGTCCTTGCTGCTGCATCAATTCATACTGCGCCACGGACCACCCCAAGAGCTTCTCAGCGATCGAGGCCGTGTCTTCTTGTCGGAAGTTGTCGAAGCCATTCTGACGGAGTGCCATTCTGTCGACCGCGAAACTACTGCTTACCACCCGGACGAATGGCCTCACCGAACGCTTTAACCGCACCCTCGGCGACATGCTTTCGATGTACGTCGCCGCCAACCACACGAATCGGGATAATACTGCCCTTCGTCCCCTACGCCTACAACATCGCCCCTCCGAGCACGACCGGTTTTTCACCTTTCTACTTGCTGTATGGAAGGCACCCGTCGCACACCATGGACACGATACTCCCGTACACGCCTGATCCATCTGAGTGTGCACCTATTTCTGAGACAGCCAGGCTTGCTGAAGAGTGTCGCGAGCTTGCCAAGGCTTTTACGACGTATGAGCAAGAGCGGCAGAAGAGTATTCGTGATGGCTCCACCACTTCTGAGCCCACGTTCCTTCCTGGTAAGCTTGTATGGCTCTCGATTCCGACCTCTCTAGCTGGCCTCTCTTCCAAACTACTTCCCAAATACGATGACCCCTACCGTGTCATCAAGCGCACATCTCCGGTCAACTATCTGATCGAACCCGTCGAACAATCTTCGGACATGCGCTGCCGTGGGCGCGACATCGTCACGTGGAGCGCCTGATGGTTTATTTTGACCCGCTCATAGTAACAAGCTGTTAGGTAGCCAGGCGGCTCCCTCTTCGACCCCGGGTAACAGTAGCGAAGCCTCCGAACACGGAAATGGGTCGAACTCTCAAGTGCTTTCTAGAGGGTCTACCCAAAAAGGACGCCTCTCGCGCTGAGAGTCCGTGCTTGGCCTTGACTGTCGCCATTGTGTATGCTCGCTGGTTGCCGGCTAATAAACGCCTTAACAGTAACAATGATTATGAGGGACGCCATAGTGGAGGCCTTCGGCAGTTTTGACTGTCCGATGTTCATTAACGTGCACTGAAACCGCAGAGGACACCAGTTTCTAGTGTTTCGCCTCAATTGAAATGCGACCGCCAGGGCCGGTATCGAACCCGCGACCTTCGGGTCAACATCCGAGCACTGTAACCGTTACACCATCGCGTCGGACGTAGCCGCAGTCGTAGAGGTAGGTCGAGATGATGTAATTTATGGTGTGTGAACTGTGATGTTCACCACTTCTGCAGAATACATCGTGAAGGTGCATATAAGATCCTACTTTTGTGCGCCAGACATTCCCAGCTGCATTGGAACAAGAATTTTTGAATTTGAACTCACCAAGCACAATACTTTATTTTTGTAAATAATGAGTGAGTGAAAAGAGGTAGTAAGCCTAAAAATAACTACAGACTGGACCAGGAGATGACTAAAATGCGTGTAAAGTCAAAAGTTTGTCAAAGAAATAATAACACTACAATATCGAAGTGACACCTTATAACGCTGGCAGCATACCTTTCGCCTGCAATGAGTTCAGTTTCGAGCATATGGATAAACAGATGAGTGCTAACTGATAAGAGGGAAACACCAGAAGCAGTGAATGCAAATTTGTCGTCAGTTTAGAGGTATAATAACTGATTGGTAATGAAAAATTAATTGGTCTCCACATGGCTGTAGATATACGATGCGATAATGAGCTCTAACATTTTGCGTAAAGGTAGGTAGTTACACATAATATGCATAAAGTTTGTTTTTAGTTGCCTGGCCAACAGCTATGGCACGTCTTCTGGCCTGTGCAGACGCTCAGTAGAATAGCCTATAGGTAAGTTGGTTAATTCTCACTACTGATACCCAACGCGTGCATGATAGTCAGTTATGGATAGTTCAAAGCATTTCACTTATCGTTGCTGTTAGCCAGCCTTTGATCAGTCGACAGTGTCATCTGTGCTGGTGAAGAATACACGCCGGCAAGCATAGCGCGAGCGGTGGGACCAAACAATGGCTACGCTTACGTCAGTGCTCACGGTGCAAGGGTGTGTGTGATTATTTATTTTTTCAATACCTTTGCTGGATACTCCACTCAGAGTGTTGCAATACAGATCATACCGTTGGTTGTGTCAATATCTTTTATTTACGCAAGTCGAGCGCCATGCAACCGGCCCATGTCAACAACACACTTCCCGTGAGTGCGTATAGGCCTCGTACGTGTCAGCGGTGCGGATGGCGTCGACAGTCGACAATGATAGTCCACCCACGTGTGCGATACGTTCACGAGGTGGTGCCTGATACTTTATATAGCGCACCTTCCACAGCTCTTAAACTATGCTTAGGCAGGCGCGAAATTCATCTTACTAACTTTACATAAATAAAAACGCTTCACTTTAGGTACTCGTGAAATCTCCTTGCACCGACGTCTTGTGCTCTTTGCGGACACACTTTAATTTGATTTATATGTGGGGTTTAATGCCCCAAAACCACCATATGATTATGAGAGACGCCGTAGTGAAGGGCTCCGGAAATCTCGACCACCTGGGGTTCTTTAACGTGCACCCAAATCTGAGCACACGGGCCTACAGTATTTCAGCCTCCATCGGAAATGCAGCCGCCGCAGCCGGGATTCGATCCCGTGACCTGCGGGTCAGCAGCCGAGTACCTTAGCCACTAGACCACCGCGGTGGAGCTGCGGACACACTTTTTGTAGCATATTCGAATAACCGAATAAAGCATGAAAAAATTGTAGTACGTTTTTTTTCTGTCAGGATAGTAAAAACTTATATCGTTTTTTACACGGACAATCGTACTTTGGTATTATGGTTATTATCCTGAGGTCAATTATTTTGTAGCGCTTTCTTTCCGAGGTATGTATTCTCAAATGGGACACTCATAAGTTAATTGTCATTCAAGGGGGTGGAGATCTGGGCACGACGTCAAGCCCCCATTGCCATGTTGCTTACTGCCTTCACTACACTATTTTTGGAACTTTAAGTTGCATGGCGCTGTTTCTCTCGTTTTGGTTGGCGAAGACGAAATGAAAGACTCAAAAATCACGGGCGTTTTTTTATCCATCGCTTTTCGTTCTTTGCAACCTAATCGCCAGGCGTGATGTCGAGATTCACGCTCCCGAAGGAGGAATCGGCTGATTAAGTGTCAAACTTGTTCAGTATCTCGGACCAGAAACGCTTCAGGATAAGCACAGTGAAGTCGTCAAATGCGACTTTCTGAGCGTTTCAAGCATAAGCTCGGACGATAAAATCAATCGTCCTGAAGGACTGTGTCATTCATGGTGCATAGACGGCACTTTCATGCAGGTAACACGTAACGAACAAAGCATTTCAGTTACAATTAGTGTTCGCAGAACTTTTAACACTTGTGCATACGTCACATTTTGGCCCAATATTTTATGTAGAGACGCCCTATAAAAGTCTTTACGGAAAATTAGCTGAACTGAACTGATTGCACTTGACACTAAACCAGTTTTATTATTTCGGAAGTCTAAACGTCTCTCATTACTTACAGAGAGGTGAAAATGCTTGCCTTCGTAGTGAAGTTAGTATTACGGAAACTGTGATTGCCTAGACATAATTTTTTCCTCGTGATTTCTCTCACCTGAAGATTCGTTTTGTTTATATTGAGTCTCGCTATTAAATACCTATACGTATGTTTTGAAGATTAAATATTTCGTAATTGCTATACAAAGGAAGTGATCCTTTGTGTGCTTTTCGGTATAGCGGTTCATATCTGTAATTTTATATACGTAACCTTACGTGGTACTGGGTGCCTTACGGGCCTTCATATTCAATAGGCAAATAGGAATAAACAATGTCTTTTGCTGCATTGTGCTATGCGTAACTAATTAGACCGTTTTTTTTCTCCCGCTCTCGCAGTTCCCAGCAGCGCCAACTACCAGTGGCGTTCCTGTGCGGACGTGGGTTTGATGGGCGCATCCTCTGCCTCACTGTTCCTGGAGCTGCTGAAACGGGTTCCACAGCAGCCATCGCATCAGCAGCAGAACAGCATTCAATCGGTCACGTACACGGCACCAGTCTTCCCGCATCCGGCAGCAGAGAACTCCTCTTCAGGAACCGGTGGGAGCCCGTGCTCGTATGGATGCCATACCAGCACAATGCCCTGACGAGCCTCGTCCTATACGGCGTGCTGGCTGTGCTCGGAACCACGCTCAACATATTCCAGATCTCATCGCTCTTCATCCAGGAGAACTTGAGCGCAAGGGCAATGTGCTGCTCGCGAACCTTGCCCTCGCCAACCTGCTCGTGTCATCGGTCGGCTTCCCTGTGACAATCGTGGCCATTCTGGCCGGCAGCCAGGGCAGCTTAATCACCTGTCGCTGGCAGTGGTACCCAGCGCTATTGGGCTTCTACACCACAGTGTTCACCTTCCTATTCATCGCGGCCGAAAACTACGTGCGCAGTTGTCGCCAGGACCGGGACGTCTACTCGTCCGTGTGCGGCGCAAAGCTGGTCGTCTTCCTAATGTTGGCAGCCTGGACGATCGCAATCTCGCTGGTTCTTGTCGTCACTCTGGTGACGGGTGGCCTAGATGTCTGTGAACGGGACATGCGCGAAAGTAAAATGTTCGTAGCGCTGTGTGTTCCTTTCGCACTCACCGTCGCGGTGTTCGCCAAGGCCATGCACGAACAACGGGACTATACATACAACCTGGAGCTGCGAAACTGCCTGGCCACTCGCGAGGAGATACTCCAGCGAACCCTTCTGCGTACCAACGCCATTGCGTACGCCCTGTTCCTCCTTCTTTGGCTTCCTTTTCTGCTAACGGTCATCATCAGCCCATCCATGCGGAGCTCCAACCCAGGCACATCAGCTGTCGAGACGCTTTTGCGCTAGTGCTGACACTGCCACGCGTTTTATGAAGAAATAGAGGCGATGTCGCTTGTTGATTTGTGGGGTTTAACGTCCCCAAAACCACCATACGATTATGAGAGACGCCGTAGTGAAGGGCTCCGGAAATTTCGACCACCTGGGGTTCTTTAACGTGCACCCAAATCTGAGCACACGGGCCTTCAACATTTCCGCCTCCATCGGAAATGCATCCGCCGCAGCCGGGATTCGATCCCGCGACCTGCGGGACATGTCGCTTGTAGGAAAGCAGTGAAGGCGAGAAAGAAACTACTTTCTCGCCATTGAACTCGCTGTGGCCTTTACAGAGACTGCAGAGAAAAATCATTTTCCGTGTGTTGCCAACGTACAGTATCGCAGTCTGAAAACACCTCTTAATGCAAGACGACAGGAGAGAAAACGTGCGAGAAGAAAATTCGGGCGGCGACACCACCTTGAGATTCCCGCAACAAACACCGCAACGTCATGAATTTTCACGGCGTCTACTGCGTCCGACGTACTTTCTACTCGGTAAAATGAAAGTACCTTGTCATCTGTCAGGGCCACAGACCTAAAATACCAAGTTTTAGAAACACGGAATATATTGAAAACAGTGACGTCAAGTGCGGAAATTCCGGCGTGAAATTTAAAACCGAAACTTCAACCTTGATTTTCTCCGCCAATAGCAAACTTTTGATAGTGAAATTTGTGGCATTAGAGTTCTCAGAGTACAGTTTATGAATCTAAACCAAGTGATTCTTTCACTTTAGCGCCCTTTTTTGAAGAAGCGCTTTCTCATTTTGTATGAGCGATGCGCTGAAACTACGCAGGAGGGGCGTGACAAAGGGGCGAGAAGGCGCGTCCCTTCGTTAGCGCGTGTCATGACCTTCGGCACTTACCTTTTTTTTTTTCGGCAAACGTGCGGCTTGCTTTCTGTGTGATCGC